CGGTGGGGGGTGCCCAATTTCCCCGCGGGGGGGGGGAGAGAGAGAGAGAGAGAGAGAGAGAGAGAGAGAGAGAGAGATCACAATGGCAAAAGTCACAATGCAAGAAAGACAGCGACACAGAGAAGAGGACAGAGGTGAAAAAAGGCCAAAATGTGGATCTCTGCTGCAGGTAAGTGACTCCAGCCTGTGAGTGGAGAATGGGAGGAGAAGCAGACTGGTGAGCTCATCTCTTTGTCAGTCTGATTTCTCCTCCTATCAGCGTGGCCCTTGTTACATAGTTACATAGTATTTGAGGTTGAAAAAAGACATTAGTCCATCAAGTCCAACCTATTAGGATCTCATTCTTAGAAGTACCTGTACCCCTGTATATTACAGCCTGGCACTGCAAGCTACCTTTCAGTTTGTGGTCTACAATGACCCCCAAATCCATTTCTGACTTCCCCAGCGGCACCCCCATAATTGTATAACCCATTTGTTTATTTTTAATTCAAAAGTGCATTAGTTTGCATTTATCGACATTAAACCTCATCTGCCACATTAATGCCCACTCCCCTATTTTATCCAGGTCCTCCTGTAATGTTATAGTGTCTAAGTCCGTGTCTATTACCCTCCCTATTTTGGTGTCATCCGCAAACACGGAAATATCGCTGTTAACACCCTCCCCGATGTCATTAATAAATAAGTTGAACAATATGGGACCCAGCACAGAACCCTGAGGCACACCGCTCATTACACTAGCCCAGTCTGAAAAGGTGCCATTTACAACAATGCCGTCCCCTCCGTCTTATATTTTATAAATGTCGCTCTCTTGTCCTTGACGTGTTGTTTTACAGTTTTATTAAACCATATTGGTTTAGTCTTTGATCTTTTATTTTTGCTCCCTAAAAGGTATACACTTTGAAGTAGCAGTATGTACTGTGTTTTTAAAACAATCCCACAATTAGCACAACAGCACTGCAGCAAAACTGACTGGTTCCTTGAGCTGCTTCTCCCTCTCACAGGCTGAGCTCTGCTGTACAGGGACTGCAAAAAAACACGATATCAAGTCAAATTCAGGTTCCTATATGGCTTGTATTAAAAAAAAAAAAGCCAATGATGTAATAATCATTCCAAAGCTGCATTCACTTGGTTTTTTTTTAATACATCTATCTGGAGTTCAGCTTTGGGAGCAAGAGAACTGGAGCTGCTTGCACCAGCTCCCTCTGCCTGCCGCCACCCTCGCTTAGCTGAGAAGGAAGAGGGCGGCTGTTAACCCCACGCTTGTCGGGGATGACAGCCAATCATATAGGCAGGGAAATGAGCTTTCAATGTCTATAAGCATGCTCTGCCCATGTAGTGTGCTCATTACATGGGCAGAGAGAAGCTTGTGCTGTCTGCCAGGTTACTATCTGACAGTTCACACCAAGTCCAATATGGTGGGTAAAAAAGTAGCCCCCCCCCAGAAGGAAGGACAGTGTCAGCACCAATTCAGAGATGATTGGAGGATCTACAGCCGAGTGATACACAAATAAGATACATTGTTGTTCATAGTGAAGGTCCTTGAATGTATTCATTTAACAGGAAGCAATAAGAAATTGCTCAACAAGTACTATCCAGCTGAACTCCCCGAGTAGAAACATACCTGTATGCGGGGATCCAGCTCTTCCTCTATCTCCCCGTTGTCCTTCTTTCCATCTGCAGCCAGCTTCTTCATCTCAGTGCCACCGTCTCCCACTAGTTCAGGGTGGCTGGTTGGGTTGTCCTCGGCTCCTAGAGTCGGAAGCCTCTCCTCACACGGGGGCCCCTCCATGATGGGACACAGCTCAAACGTGCATGGCGTCTTCAGCACTGCGGAACACGGAAAACAAAAATACATTGATTTGAAATGCAAAGAAGGACGAGGGGTATAGACAAGTCCTACGGGGAAGCTGAGCACAGAACTCCGCACAGAATTATTCATTTTTCATTGCAGCCGATCACATATAAATGTAAAGGGAACTTTGTATATTAAAGAAGAACTTCACCCGCTTGTTGTGTTTTTTTTAAAATCCCCTCTTACCACAGGTCGCCTCGAACTATGAGGATGAGTGTAAATCACTCCCCTCATAGTTCTCCTTTACGCCTGAGTTTAGCGTCTGCTTGGTTACACCTTAACGGCACACATGCCGGCAGACATCTTTGCTCATGATGTGTTGCATGCATGCTGTGCTTCGTAGTGCTGTGCAGTCATCGTGCCTTTCTGAATAGACTTTTAGACTTGATATGAAAAGCAATGAACAACCCCCCCACACCCCCTCCTCTATATACATCATCTACTTACCCTCTTACCTTCATATGAGACTTTCCACATATAATATGTACAACATTTCACACTCTCTGCTGTACAACCGGCTCAATGCGCTCTCACAGACATCGCACTACAAACCACTATGACCCCCAACGGGTCCATAGATGTCCTGAGCGCACGCCTCCCGCGATATCCCATCACCCAACCTGGTGCTCGGCGGGAAACCGTCCGACACTCTCAGATCATGGGAGAAATCTTCCAGGGAAGGTGCGAGTGGTCATGTAAGCGGCAAGAGATCCAGCGCAGCAAAACCGCTTACATCAGCCGGATTATCATCAGCCCGGCGGGCTGACACTGCCACGAGTCTAATTAATGGTCTGAGGATACCGCTGAAGTTTAATCTCCCCCTTCAGCAGCATTCCGTTTCATATCTTACATAGCTCCCAGCGATGTCATCACTAGATCTCTGTGCACTTCTATACAATGCAGGCGGATCATGGCTGGTGGGAGGGGCCGGCAGGGTGCTGTACATAGCTTCCTGAAAAGATCACACAGTACTGCTTTCAAGAGCCCTGATGCGAGCAGGTCGGCTGGCTCTTGGGAGGAGTTATGCAAATATCAAAATGGGAGGATGTCAGTCTGGAGGAGTGGGTGTTACCAGGTAAGCTGCATTTGCATACAGGCCACACTACGTAACGCTGGGATGCCGTGACTGAAAGAGTGGATATCCATATCATGGATTCTGGATCTTGGATTAGGGATTCTGGATCTTGAATTAGGGATTCTGGATCTTGAATTAGGGATCATGGATCTTGAATTAGGGATCATGGATCTTGAATTAGGGATCATGGATCTTGAATTAGGGATCATGGATCTTGGATTAGGGATCATGGATCTTGAATTAGGGATCATGGATCTTGAATTAGGGATCATGGATCTTGAATTAGGGATCATGGATCTTGAATTAGGGATCATGGATCTTGAATTAGGGATCATGGATCTTGAATTAGGGATCATGGATCTTGAATTAGGGATCATGGATCTTGAATTAGGGATCATGGATCTTGAATTAGGGATTCTGGATCTTGAATTAGGGATCATGGATCTTGAATTAGGGATCATGGATCTTGAATTAGGGATCATGGATCTTGAATTAGGGATCATGGATCTTGAATTAGGGATCATGGATCTTGGATCACAGATTAGGGCTCTTGAATTAGGGATCATGGATCACAGATTAGGGATCTTGAATTAGGGATCATGGATCTTGAATTAAGGATCATGGATCTTGGATCACAGATTAGGGATCATGGATCTTGAATTAGGGATCAAGGATCTTGGATTAACGCCTACACATTTTCCATTTAAATCACAACAAATCTCCAGGCATGCATTCTGGTGCTCTCAGACGCATTATAACACATGTAAACACAGCATGACGCACATCTTAGTGATGCATTTCTATGAATTACAATGTAAAGCCATTCGTAAAACCCACACAGGTGTTAATCCGTGATCCCCCCGGGCTCCAAGCCCCCTGGAGCCGGCCATAGGACATGCACAGGTGAGGACACCTCCAGCTCCCAGCCATCCATTATACTGACAATGTAAACAGCTCAGACCGCTGACAGGTCCACTTCAAGCCCTGATCTGGTACCGGCCATTATTCTGCTGATCTACAGAGATCACTGACTCCATATTACAGGCCACCAGGGTACACAATAACCCACCCTGGAGAGGAGGGAGTACAAGACCAAGCCAGCTCATGCAGAAGGCCCTGCTGGGATAGCAGCTGGCATGGCATGCTGGGCCTTGTTGTCCCCGACTCCAGGCTGCCAGGACAGGCTGGCATTGGCACTACCCCACCCAGATCACATGACCACCCCCTGCCCACCTCACACACCCACCTGCACTGTCTCCTTATGGCATGATGGCACAGGTCCTCCTGTGTGACGTCACCCGGCTGCCAGTGACGTCACACAGAGCCCCCTTTTCGCCGCCGCCTGTTTGTTGCCGTCCAGTTGCCTGGATCTAGCCAGCGCCTCGCGGCCCCGGAAGCGGAAAGACGGTGTCGGGGGCGTGGTCGCCAGTTTGCCGTACAGCAGCATGGCGCACGCGGCTTGTGTGGAACGTTTTTCTCCGTACAGTGCCCGCGGGCGGCGCTCGGCTGCCATGGAGACGCAGAGGGCGGGGCCTGGTTACCTTGGAAACCTGCCGGCCCACAACTGGCAGCGCCTGCAAAGAGGCCCTGTCACCCGTGACTTATACACGAATCATGACATTGTTAATGAAAAGTAAATTGTAATAAAATAATAATACATTTGCATAGAAGAATGAAGGGAAAGATGAACCTTTGAAGCAGTCTCTGGGGGGGAATTTATCAAAACTGGAGCAGACAAAACCTGGAGCAGTTGTTAATGGCAACCAATCAGCTTCTCTCTTCAGTTTGGTCAGTTAACCACTTGTTGCCCAGAGCAGTTTGTTACATTAGCACACACTTGATAATATCTGAATTTCTGGCTAGAAAACAGCTTCAGACACTCAAACAATGATATATTTTCTGAAAGCAGAGGCCCTGTAGACTAAAAAGATGATAGTTGCAATTTTCTATGTCGCACGGTATTTGGGCAAATGTTTATCCAACAAATATTGGTTGGATAAAATACACTAAAATGAAATTTAGTGCACATAAACTGAATATAATACCCCTAATATCACCTAGGGACCCCAAAGAAGCTGATGAAGCAGAGATCTGCTTCTCCAGCTTCTTCTGGCTCTAGGAGGCAGAGAACGTGCACAGTGACACCGGAAGTGATGTAATACACATCACTTCCGGGTCCAGTGATGGGGGAGAGATCAGCGGCTGGAAGCTTGCTGAACTCCCTCCGATCCATCAGGGAAATCCTGCAGTGCCGGTCCCAGGCTCAGACAGGGGGGAGGGGAGCCTAGGGGGTACAGACGCCGGATCACTTGGATTTAAACAGCAATCATATGCTGTTTAAAACGGTACCAAGAACATGTGTATGTACACGAACCCGCTGGAAGTGGTTAAGACATGAAAATGAAAGAGAGGAGCTGATTGGTTGACATGCACGGCTGCTCTAGTTTTGATAAATTCCCCTCTCTGTGTTCTCATGACAACGGTTTTTCCTTATTTTCCACCAAAAAGTGTCTTATTTATTAAACCCCTTTTAACTGTTCGGTTGCTAGGATGCCAGTGTTGTGGAAATTTTACTAGGATGTGTTTTTAGTGTATTGTACTGTTTTGTCATTAGTCTCTCAGTGTCTAGGTAAATAGGCGCTGGGGGGGTAAAACCATTGGAGTAGATATCTTATGCGCGGCGGAGCAGTGTCTTCTTGGCGAATGTATGGACGCCGGCTGGGGCCCCCCGTGCAATGCATGGATTTATTGGCTTGCGTGGATACATTTGTTTGGAACGCAGTATATGAAAGGAACGTGCGTTTGTTCTCTCTGGTGCGCCTGATCAACACGCTTGAGATAATATAACGTTGTCCCCGTAATTACGCACGCATGAGAATCATAGTAACGTTATGTGGCATTGATCACTGAGCAATGCTGGATAAAGTACACTCCGGTGGTAATAGATTATTCTACTACATGTGATTGTTCTACTAATGTGTTTTGTAGACTGGCTATGTATTGAGGAAGTGCTTGTTAACATCACTTCCTGGTTTACTGGTTTTTGAAATCGTTTGCTGGTTGTTGACATCACTTCCTGTCTTGCCCCATTTCCTGTCTCGCTGTTTGATACATCACTTCCTGTCTGACATCACTTCCTGTTGGGCAAGTATAAAACAATAAACATACCTGTGCTCAGGTCTCTTAGCATGGGGTTATCAAGAATGCAACACATGTCTCCTGACTCTACATGACTCTGAAGGGGATACTTCCAGTCCTTGCACAAAAGAGCGTAGTACAACGGGGGAAATTCTTAGCGTTTGGCGCAGCTTAATGCGGCATGGATTTGTGCGTTGAACCAAGTGAATTTCCATAACACCAGCGATATCCTAGAAACCAATACCTCATCCCAAGCCCAACTCAACTGCTGGCCAGGAGATTTTCCAGTCTGACTGCTGAATGTAAACAAAGGGGCTGGAGGACATCATTACCCAAATATCGCAATGCCCATAACTGGTTAATAATGTCAGCCAGTCCCCCGACCCCTTTGTTTACATTCAGCCTAGGCTGGCAGCTGAATGCGAAACTCCACGGCCGCTGCGCCAGGCCTGTATGGCAGTGGCCAGGCTGAGAGCTCAGTAACTCCAAGTCTGGGATTTTATCAGCGTTACTAAGCTGCACTGGGGACGGAGCACCCAGTAAGGGGACTCTGGCCTCAGTACCAACCTACATGCGACAAATTAATGTACTAGTTTCTACACCAATATTTATCGTGTGGAGGCGCATTGAGTCTTAAGTGTTTACAACACTCCATTCCAGGGTCTGTGGGTAGATTTAAGAGAAACCAAGGCTGGGCACACACCTTACAACCATCGCAAGACTTTTGTCTTGCGATGGTTGTAAGGTACTTAAAAAACGTACGATCTGCCTATCTTGCATAGGGAGATCGTACTTGCAATCATCGCAAGCCACGCCCCCGAGGGGCAGGCTTCCGATGACCGCAATGCCGAACGGGCAGTGTGCGTTTGCGCACACCGGCCCGTCCGGCTTTTATCGTACGAACATGCTACACACCCGCCAAACATCGTACGATGCTCGGCGGGTTTTCGTACGTTTGTAAGTTAAGTCGTGTGACCTTACAGTAGTAGAGGTCGCACGGCTTCCACACACCTTACGATAATCGTACGATCGCGGGATTTCCCGCAATTATCATACGATTAACGCAGGGTGTGTGGAGACCTTAAGAGAGAGGGGTCTATTTATAAACAATTTGCAAGGCCCTACGGATGTCTGTGAACATTTGTTTTGGGTGAATAACACCAAAAACTAATTTTTTTAGCGTTCGAATGTATTGTCATAGTGCTGGGCTGCACTGGACGGCCGTATGAGGTACAGAGTACACCGGTACTGGCGGAGGGGAAGGACCGTTTACCAAAAAGGTAAGTATTTTGCCAGATTTAAACAAGTAATTCCATTTTCCCAAATTACTTGGTAAAATGAATTTACCCTTTAATGTGCATTGTGCGTGTTAGAGAACGCTGCTGCCCGGCTACCACAATTTGGCACGCATGTGTTCATTCGCACGCAGATGGCGGGGTTGGTTATTTTATTTTTGCCTTTTTATCATTTTATTTTGTATTTGCTATTGTTTATCTTTAAACCTTTATCACTTTTTATTTTGGTTTTTAAAAAAAAAATATGGTCACCTTTTTATCACTAATTTTTATTTCTCTTTTTCTTCACTTAACTGATATCACGCAGGGGATAACAAGCCCCTATGTGATATCATTCGGAGGCGACAGGTTCTTTATGAGCCTGCCCTACAATACAGCAGACACAGCACAGCATTGTGCTCCATCTTGTGTACAGCTCCGTTTGCAACAGCTGACAGGAAACGATGTGAATACAGCGCTTGCATCACTGATCACAGAGCGGAGAATGTACGTTCTACACTCTGCTCCCCGCTCTCCATCCTAAATCGATCTGCCATGGTCCCGGGTCCTCCATGGTGGAGAGGGGGCGGCTGAGGGGGGACAGACCTTGGGAGGGGAGACTAGCAGGCTGCTGTACTATTGATCCAGGCGGACGACTTCTACAAAAACTAGCAGCCTGAAGCCATTTAAAAATGTAAAGTGCCGGCTACAGCGCTATGTATTGGGGCATTTTCACGAGTACAAGTACTCCTGAAAATGTCCTGCATCTAGTACCGGTATCGGTGCATCCCTGGAAAAGAAAGTTTCTTCCGTATGCTCCTCAGCTCTATCTGGTGGCCATAATGTAGTATTACATGACAATACATTCCAACTAGAAAATATATTAAGAACATTTGATTTGCTTCTGTAATTGTCCGGATCACCATCGTCACCACAAATATGTGAAGGTAAACCCACAATTCTCAGTTGCCACCAAAACAGGAATAGGAGGAGGAAATCTTGAAATGTGGACATTTGCCTAAAAGGGAATTTCCCTCACATTTGACCGGTAGCCTCAGTTCACATTGAGTCTACAGGACAGGAAGTCAAATCTCTCTAAAGAAACACTGATGGCACAAAGTAAACTGACCGCGGATGTAAAACTTCCCTTACTCTATCCAAAATTTGTAAAAAAAACAAAACAAAATTTTGGCTTTTGATATATACTTTTACCCTTTTGTTGCCAGTGCCATTTTTGCTAATTTTAAGGCCTGAAAATTACCCAACATTAGTGGTGACAGGTACATTTAAGGAGACATTAGGGGTCTATTTGACCTCTGATGTCATTGCTGTACTTCAATGAAGCCGATCAGCACCCCGTGGAAGCCGCCCAAATCAATTCCAGCGTAAAGACGTCGGCTTTACAAACGTAAGCAAACTTCCAGCTGCTATAATAACCAGGAGTCTGCGTACCAAACTCTACTGCCTGGCAGTGAAAGGGTTAAAGTGGAACTATGGGCAAAATTAAAAAAAGATATGATGCAATCGGACACTAGCACAGCAGTCCTTGCTTTATGGCAGGGAAGAGTGCAATACTTCATACAGTACATATCAGCATCACCCCCAACCCAGTGGGAAGAGGGATGCCCAGCAACCTATACAAATAGGGTAGCTCCCAGTGCACGGCCCAACCCTTCAAGGCTATCCCCCCTGCAACATCCAGTCCAGCGGGTCCTGGACGTGGTACTCCAATAGCAGGCAGAGGACGACCATGACAGACAAAGCTCTAGCAGAAATGTCGAGGAGTCAAGTTAAAGAAAACCAAAACTACAAAAACTGAGGCACGCTGGTAGAAGGGTTGTCCTGGACTACAAGCTTTGGCGGTATCCAATCCTCGTGTGTGCCCTTAAGGGCTCAGTCACACTAGATGCAGTGCGTTCCGGCCCGAACGCACTACCTCGCTCACTTTTTAGTGGGGTAGGAGGGGGCGTGGCAGGCCATTGAAGTGAACGGCGCCTCCGGCCGCACGGGATCGCAAGGCACATTGTACCTGCGGTCCGGCCCTGTGCGATCAAAGTAGTGCTTGCAGCATTTTGAACGCACCGCACAGGATCGGACCGCAGGCACAATGTGCCTTGCGATCCGGTGCGGCGGATCACAATGCAGCCGGAGGGCGTGGCTACGGCGCCATTCACTTGAAAGGCCCGCCACACCCCCTCCTACCCCACTAAAAAGTGAGCCGGCCGCAATGCGAGGCAGTGCGTTCTGGCCAAAATTGTCCCGGAACGCACTGCATCTAGTGTGACTGAGCCCTAAAGGAGAACTATGAGGGGAGTGATTTTCACTCAGCCTCATAGTTCGAGCCGACCTGTGACAATGAGACTGTCACACGTCGGCTCAATAGATCGGGAAGTGAGCAAACCCATACCGTCACTCGCTCATCTCCCTGACAGTCACGGCTCTCTGCAGGGATTACCCCCCTCCGATCCTCCAGCGCTGACTGTGGAAACGAATGGGAAGGGGTCGGGTACAGCTGGGTGGATCTCTACAGTGAGCTGTAGCTCGCGATATACTGAGCTTTGGGTGAAGGAAGGATGCTAGTATATGTCCTCCTGTGACACTGAAGAGAACTATGGGGGAAAAGACTGACCCCATAGTTTTCCTTTAATGGACAAAAAAAAAAAGGCCGGTTGAAGGCGCGGGACAAGGACAAGGCGAGTTCTGAAGTTCAGCTGACAATGCTGGCTGAGATTTTAGTAGAGGATTTTTGTTTTCAATGGGAGAGGACATGGGAAAATGTGCATTTATCAGAATGTTTGTTTTGCTCAGACAGATTAAAAAGAAGTGAGCAACAGCGTTCCTTTAAACTTATATTGCGGTAAAGCAGGACAATGACCATATGTTGTATGTTGGGAACTCCGCACAAAAAGATCAAGATAGTCAATCCACAGAACATCTTTAGGGGAGGCGTTCACTCACTGAGATCAGAGGGGATGTTGGCCTTCATGATCTCTTATGTTAGATGCCACATAGGATATTAACAAAAAAACGATACAAATCCTAAAACTGACTCCATACCCTGCTACACAAATACAGAGACCAGGAATGGGTGACAACATTTTAGTTTTTATTCTAGGATTTGCAACATGAGACTTGACAACTTAACGGTTGGACTTGGCAACTCTCTCCAGTTCATCTTTCTTCTTGATGGCGTAGGAGTTAGAGGAGCCCTGAAAGGAACAAAACACAAGGTAAGACTTGGAGCAAAACTGCAGCATTGTTATTTAATGGAGAAAAAAACTACTATTAGGTATTGTGAAAATCTATTATGGATTTCACATGCTTCTGTTCTAGAGATATTACAAAGCT